TAAAAGTTGGGGTCAATTGACTATCTGAAGAGTTATTTTGATTTTTAAAATGGGATGTTTTTGATCAAATTTGCATTATATTGCCCATAGCAGCACGCGCGGATTTTGAACTTTGACGCGCGCTCACGGCCTTATGAAAGGTCAAGAGTGACTGAAATTAATGTAAATTGTCATTTACGGTAACAGGAATCTAAATCATGTAAAAAAAAATGAATTTGATCTTTTCCGCGCGCCGTGAGCGTGCGCAACGCGCGCGGGGACACGTACGGACGGAAAATTTTGAAATGCTTAAAATGACCTGATTCATACTCTCGTTTAATAGTTAAGTAATTTTGAGCATTTTAAAATTTTAACGCGCGCGTACGTGCGCGTCATGACCTTTATGTGACCTTTGATGACATGACTTGTTGACCCTTGACTTGAAGTATATATGATATTAATATGAATGACCTTTGATAATGCATAATGAAGATATGATGGATAATGTGATTCCACAAAATGGCGCCTGGATGACGTCACGATGACTTGATGACCTTGAAAATGTTCCTGTCACGTCTCATGACAATGACCTATCACTGTGTCAAAATTGAAAGAAATTAACACAACCAATCTTGAGTTATCCTATGAACAAAAAAGTGTAGGAAATAAATAAAAATAAAGAATAAATAAATAAATAATAATAATAATAAAGAAAATTCTGACGAAAACAATAGGTGATCTGTTTTCAACAGACCACCTAATAAATAAAGAAAGAAAATTCTGACGAAAACAATAGGTGATCTGTCGAAAACGACAGACCACCTAATAAATAAAGAAAGAAAATTCTGACGAAAACAATAGGTGATCTGTCGAAAACGACAGACCACCTAATAATAATAAATAAATAAATAAAGAAAGAAAATTCTGACGAAAACAATAGGTGATCTGTCGTTGACAGACCACCTAATAAACTAGATTTGTAATACTTGTTTGGAACAAGTATAGGTGGGCTGGTCGAACTAAAATTTGAGACAAAATAAAGGGTACATATGAGATAGCTTATTGTCTCAGCTACAACATACTTGAAGTTCAGCGTAAACGAAGCTAAACGACAGAGATATTGCTCGCGAAAGAATCCAGTTTTGAGAAAAAATCATGTCCCATAGAGAATACACGCAAAATGTGAAAATTGACATGCCTCCTTTAATCACAAAAATACGCCATGATGCTTTTGTCAAAATGAAAATTTGTGATACCTTCATTTGTAAAAAATTGTCTCAGCTACAACACATCAAAATTTGGAAGACAATCGATCAATATTTACAGAGAAATAATCAATTTTCTAAAAATATGCTGACGTCATAATATGCAAATTGAAATTTTGAGTTTGGAGGCCATTATGATGACGTCATGAGTTAATTGAGGGTCAAATGAGACATGAAATCATATCTCCAATTCATACTTTATCAAAATATGACCCCCAAATTGGGGTCACCGTGCATCCTAAGGAGCTACAGTGGATCTTATATAGGCATGTTTTTGTCCATATATGCTATGTATTACAAGAGCTCGCGCGCACGGAAATTTATGTTAAACGGTCGATCATTCCGTTATTAATAGTCATAAAGAGACAAACATGGTATCAATTTGTTTGTAAAAATATGTGGAATATTATGAAAGAAAAAAAAAGGCGATTCTATGTTGTGTAATATTTTTACGCGCGAAAACGCGCGCGCCGCGCGCATGCGCGTGTGTGTGCGCGATTTTTTATAAAATGCTTAGAATGGCCTAAAACGTATGTAAAATGATTTTGAGATGATTTTGAGCATTCAAAAAATTTGCGCGCGCATTGACGCACGGACGTGCGCGTATGCGCGCGTTATTTGACCTGCAATTGACCGGACGGATATTGACCTTGGTCATGATGAATATGAATGAGAAATACCTTTTGGTTATGAAGATATGATCATAAGTTGATTTTCGTAAAATTTTACAAAATGGCGCCTAGATGACGTCATCAGCAAAGGTCAATGTTGAAAACGTTATTATGCTTTGTACATATGCCTATACATATGTGTGCCAAATTTCAAGGCATTTGATTGAGCCATTTTTAAGTTATCTTGCTAACAAAAAAGCGGTTAGAAATAAGAAAAATATTTAACAATAATAATAAACTAGACATATAATACTTGTTTGGAACAAGTATAGGTGGGCTGGTCAACTAAAATTTGAGACAAAATAGAGCAAAAATAAGCGACATACTGCTTACAAATTCTTAAAAAACAATATCATGTAGATTCATAACGTGAACTAAATTCACCTTCTTATAGGCATAACACGCAGTTTTTGACATGAGGCCTTTAATCAAAATTTTTACTATGATGACGTCATCAAAATGAAAAAAAAATTATTACTACGCTTGTAGAGAATTGTCTTAGCTACAACATATCGAAATTTTGAAGAAAATTGATCAATATTTACAGAGATACAATAAATTTTACATAAATATGCTGACGTCATAATATGCAAATTCGTATTTTGAGTTCCAAGGCCATTGTGATGATGTCACGATACACTTAATGGCCAAATGAGACATGGAATCATATCTCCGACTCATACTCTATCTAAATATGAAAAAAAATTGAGGATCCCGGTGCATTCCAAAGAGCTATAACGGATTTTATATAGGCATATTTTTGCCCATATATGCTATGTATTAAAAGAGCTCGCGCGCACTGACATTTATCTTGAATTGACGCTCATCTTGTTAATAATGGTCATAAAGAGATAAACATGGTATCAAATTCCTTGAAAAAATATGAGATATATCATGAAAGAAAAAAAAATGGCGATTCTATGTTTTGTAATGGTGTTACGCGCGAAAACGCGCGCGCATGTGCGTGTGCGCGTTTTTTTATAAAATGCTTAAAATGACTTGAAACGTATGCAAAATAAATTTGAGACGATTTTGAGCAGTTTGAAATTTTGCGCGCGCATTGACGCGCGGACGTACGCGCACGTGCGCGTTTTTTGACCTGAAATTGACCGGATTGATATTGACCTTAATCATGATAAATATGATTGAAAAATCACTTTTGGTTATGAAGATATGATCAAGAGTTTATTTTCAGAAAATTTCACAAAATGGCGCCTAGATGACGTCATCAGTCAAGGTCAAGGTTGAAAACCTTACTGTGTTTTGTCCATATGCCTATACATATGTGTGCCAAATTTCAAAGCATTTGATTAAATAATTTCAAAGATATCTTGCTAACAAAAAGTGGGTCGAAATAAGAAAAATAAACTAGATTTGTAATACTTGTTTGGAACAAGTATAGGTGGGCTGATCCAACAAAAAATTGAGACAAAATAAAGGGTACATTTGAGATAGCTTTTTGTCTCAGCTACAACATACTCGAAGTTCAGCGTAAATGAAGCTAAAACAACGTAGATATTGCTCGCGAAAGACGGGAATGTAGAATCAAGTTTTGAGAAAAAGTCATGTCCCATAGAGAATACACGCAAAATGTGAAAAATTGACATGCCTCCTTTAATCGCAAAAATACGCCATGATGCCTTTGTCAAAATGAAAAATTGTGACGAATAGATTTGTAGAGAATTGTCTCAGCTAGAACATATCAAAATTTTGAAGAAAATTAATCAATTTTTAGAAAGATACAATCAATTTTCCAAAAAAATGCTGACGTCATAATAGGCAAATTGAAATTTTGAGTTCAGAGGCCATTATGATGACGTCATGAGTTAATTGAGGGTCAAATGAGACATGAAATTATATCTCTGATTCATACTCAATCAAAATATGAAAAAAAATTGGGGTCACCTTGCATCCTAAAGAGCTACAATGGATTTTGCACAGGCATGTTTTTGCCCATATATGCTATGTATTACAAGAGCTCGCGCGCACTGAAATTTATGTTAAACGGTCCATTATTCAATTATTAATAGTCATAAAGAGACAAATATGGTATCAATTTGTTTGTAAAAATATGTGGAATATTATGAAAGAAAAAAATGGCGATTCTATGGTGTCTAATAGTTTTACGCGCGAAAACGCGCGCGCGTGCGCGTGTGCGCGATTTTTTATAAAATGCTTAGAATGGCCTAAAACGTATGCAAAATGATTTTGAGACGATTTTGAGCATTTCAAAATTTTGCGCGCGCATTGACGCGCGGACTTACGCGCACGCGCGCGTTATTTGACTTAAAATTGACCGGACGGATATTGGCCCTGATCATGATAAATATGAATGAGAAATACCTTTTGATTATGAAGATATGATCATGAGTTGATTTTCGTAAAATTTTACAAAATGGCGCCTAGATGACGTCATCAGTGAAGGTCAATGTTGAAAACGTTATTGTGCTTTGTACATATGCCTATACATATGTGTGCCAAATTTCAAGGCATTTGATTGAGCCATTTCCAAGTTATCTTGCCAACAAAAAAGTGGTTAGAAATAAGAAAAATATATAATAAATAAATAAATAAATAAAGGCAATTCTAACGAAATTATAAGGTGGTCTGTACGTTATACAGCCCACCTGAAAAGTCAGAAGTATCTTATATGATAACGACAATAATGAAAAGCAAATCCAGACAGATCGAAGAAACAAAATGAACTAAATATGACACCTGAAGAAGAATATATTTTAGAGAAGAAACATGCATATAAAAAATATGTTATTAAGCCATGTTTCTCTTTTCCGACGAAAATTTGGTTGCAGACAATGGTATCAAATAGAAAATAAAGGAATTAAGGACACAAAATGAGAATGTGAGGGAAAGAGAAAGATTTGAATGGAGCAGAAGAAGATACTATTGAAGAAAAGGTAACTCAAAAATGTATGGACTATGGACCAACGAAAATTTAGAATTTGTTTTCGTCTAGAACAAATGGAAAGATAAATGAAAAAATAAACGATAATCAGAAGAACGTTAGCATCATTTAATACACATGGAATTACAAACACTGACCCAACTTGGAACAACAATAACTTACATGCACAAGAAACACATTGAGTGTGCCGGTATGAAGTCTCGTCAGATGACTTTCCAGTCTACCGCCCGCTGTACTCCCACACCCTTCGAGCCTATGTTTAGAAAAGAAAGTGATGGGAGTAAAAGTAAATAAGTTGAGAGAGAGACAGAAAGAGGGGAGAGATAAACTAGTGAAACTCGTGAAAAGTAATCATTTCCACCAGTATTGTATTGTTTAAACATTGTTAATGAACAAATGATGAGTCATAGATTTATAAGCTGAGGGGGTGGGGGGGGATAGGGGGCATGCCTGCCACCTCCTGAAACTGCCACTGTTGACATGTTCTTTAGACGATGCACCCGAACAACAATTGAGAATAGAAAGGGCGGTTTGACTTTAACGATTTATTGCAGAGCACACAATTTTCAAATGCTCTGTATTTGATGATACTTCATGCAAATACCTTAAAGTTGCAATTTTTAATGGTAGACTAAAATGTTCAACATCATATGGCACTATAAATAATGATACCGATGATTAAAATGATAGGGACAGTGATAAAAATGATAATAATAATAACAAGTCAAGGCAAAGCGTAGCATCCCTTCGCCGGGTTAGTACAAATGGCCTATATTCAGCAATCTTTGCATATTTAATGAGCTGTGACCTTTGACATTTGGCGTACAATCGTACATACTCAACATTACTTACGTTATTGCATGACAACCACATTTTCACATATATAATTAGGTATTTTTCCATATTTAATGAGCTATGACCTTTGACCTACATACTCCGAAATCGAACTTAGGTTGTGTTTTGATATCATGTATCTCATATCTAATTGCAATGACGACTTTCGTCATTGCCTTGTTTTCGTTCACATTCTTCTTATTAATATTTGCAATGACGACCTTCGTCATTGCCTTGTTTTCGTTCACATTCTGCCCCATTAATATTCTCCTCCTCCTTTTCCTTGTTTTCCTTATCGTCAGGAAATCGCATTCGTTTTACACATAATGCTTGTTATTCCTAGTTAGGTGCTTTCCTCATGTCCTTTTCCTTTCAAATTTCATAGGCATAGTCTCTAAAATCTCATCAAGGTCACTACATTTTTCGATTTTCGAAATCACTCATGCGTCCAGACGCCACTTTGTCCATTTCTGGTCCATTTTAAGGCCTCTCTTTCTTCCTTCCTATCTCCACTATTCTAGATCCTACACATTTCTAACAAATTCCCCTAGATAGTCTAAGAGATGTTCTTTTATCTGCGACACATAACCCGACCTTCAAAATGCCATCTTCGTACTCAAAATTCAAATCTGAAACCGACTCCGTCAAAAATCTCTCAAATTCTTGAAAAATTGACCCCTAAATAATCTAAAACTGCCATAACTTTCTCATATAAATTCCGTTTTGTATTTAAACCTCACAGTATCTTTATCTGATAATTCAGGCTCCAATGGCTTTGCAAAACATAAATAGCGCCCTCTACAGTTCTTGGAATTGGCTTTTTTTTTCTGTGGCCGTATCTCCATTACGCCTTGGCAGACCCGTACCCTTTTTTGGATTTATATACTTGAAAATATGCCCTTTCCAGTCATATACAAAATTGCAATGACGAACATGCACCAAATCCCATTGGTTTTTTAACGCAGTGCTTGCGAGCCCTTTCTATAGGTGCTTTCCCCTATCCCCAATTATTTCAAACTTCGTAGGCATAGTCCCTACCATCCCACCAAGGTCACTGTTGAGGCCTTTCCTTCGCCCTACCTATCTCCAATATCACAGAAGCTACAGACTTCGTACAAATTACTCTGGATAGTCCGAGAGAAGCTCTTTCGTTTGACACGTAGAAACATGGCGTCATTGCACGCACATCGTTGTGACACGATTGCATTTCTAATTTCATTAAAAACCGTCAAACATTTCTGAAGTTATTGAACGGAAAAGGACGGACGGACGGACGGCAGCGTTACTACATGTATATCCCCTCCGACTTCGTCGGCGAGAGGATAATAATAATAATAATAATAATAATAATAATAATAATAATAGTAAAGATCATGCCACCCATACTAATGATGCTGATGATGATTAATATAACACAATATATAACAAAGGAAAACAATAATAGTAGTAAAATCAATAATAACGAGATATGAATTTGTCACATGAAGACGAATAAGGTGGTCTGCCTTTTTTTTTTTTACTTCAAAGGGTCTTATGGTGTTAACGGAGAGATGGAGAGAGACAAACATAAGGCCTTAAAAAAAGATGTTGTATTGCCCTTTAGGTGCCAAAACAGGGGTCAGTCGGTCTGAAATATTTTGTTTGATTGCCTTTAAAATGTGTCATGAATAAAGTGTTAAGTCCTTTCCGTAGAAAACTCTAAACAGCGACTGTCGCCCCAAAAATTTAAAACTGGGAACGCCGTCCAAATCTCCCTACCCAGGTCGAAATTCCATTAGGATCCGATCCTATTGGACCATCAGAAACCATTAGAGCTATTGGTGTCTAATGGTTTCAATAGGGAAAGTGAAATGATGGACCCACAGAAACCATTAGAAAATATCTATTGGACCAACACAAACCCACAGAAAAAATGCTGATGGACCAACAGAAAGCTTCTATTGGACCAGCATCCACCCATGTCTTATATGGGGTTCTGTTGGTCCATTAGATATTTTCTATGGGTTCCTGTTGGTCCACTAGAGATCTTTCTATGGGTTTCTAATGGTCCCATATTCTGAATTCCCTATTGAAACCAATAGTCCAATGGCTTCGTTTGGTAAATCAATAATGATAAATCAAAATCGATTTTAGCAACTGTCCACCAAAAAAAAGTATATTCTAATCTCAATTGCATTAACTCCATCACATAGATCACTTGAAGTGAGTTTAAGAATATCCTTTAATTTAACTGAAGGCTTGTACTATTCTATATAATAAACATACATGAGTTGTTTCTTGGTTAGTATTTTATAGTAATCATTATAATCAATATATCTATTGCTAAAACGTGAATGAAATTGTAACATGATTAAACAAATTATCTCTGATTGGTCATTAGTTGCCGAAAGAAAATAAAAATCACAAAATTGATGTACATTGTCATAAGTTGCTTAACAAATTATGATAAATGTAATTTTCTGTGAACACGTATAAAGTAATCATGAATATGCATGAGATAGATTTAGCTGTTGGTTTCTATTGGTTTCTATTGGACCTATTGGTTTCTATTGGTCCCATTGGGTTCTATTGGTCTCATTGGTTTTCTATTGGTCCTATCGGTTCTATTGGTTTCTATTGGTCTTATTGGTTTATATTGGTCCTATTGGTTTCTATTGGTCCTATTGGTCCTATTGGTTTCTATTGGTCTTATTGGTTTCTATTGATCCTATTGGTTTCTATTGGTCCTATTGGTTTCTATTTCTATTGGTTTCTATGGGTGCTATTGGTTTCTATTGGTTTCTGATGGTTTGAATGGTCTCTATTGGATTCAATTCTATGGGTCTAACAGAAACCAATAGACTCCAACAGAAACCATTAGAGACCAATAGAATTTTTCTAATGGTCTCTATTGGTCTCTATGGGATTTTCGACCTGGGTAGTTTTTGGTACACGTACACGAGGCCGGGGTCTACTTGCATGTTTACGCTAGCAGGATTTTGAAACTAGGGCAGAAGACGAGTTAGAATTTGGGAATAATTTGATGATTTTATGCATCAAAACGAAAAAACATGAGAAAAAAACGGTGAAAAAATAAATAAATAAAAAGCAGACTGTAGATTTTCAGATTTTTGGGTCGGTCACAAAGGGCAATACAACATCTTTTTTTTAAAGGTAAAGACCAGTATTGGTAATGCCCCAATTTCAAAAAATGAAATGGAAGCTCTCATTACCAATCATGTGAAAGAATATGTTTTGACTAATACATGATGATAAAAAATTTGCCGGGAAACCGCCTACTAATTCATATATTTGGTAAATTTATTTCTCTCATGGTCGTGTGAGAGAGATAGGGTAGTCCCATATACATCTTTCTGTGTATAGTGCTTGTAACTTTACGAAGAATGGGCCAAATTTCTTATCATTTTGATGATTCCAGAACCTTGCAGATGCTAGATGCTAGATTATCAACCTTTTCTGATCGATTCCACAACGTTTCTTTCACAATGCAATCGCATGACCATTACTGGTCTTTACCTTTAAGGCCTAATGATACATTTAATGATGATGATAATAATACAGTTGTAGTAGTAGTAATATTAGACTTATTATAATATTGATGATAATAATAATTATTTACAGTAGTATTCACAATATTTACTGTAATGTTTTTTTTACTGTACTGTTATGTATTTATGCCTCCATTACGAATTTGCCGGAGGCATTATGTTTTCGGGTTGTCCGTCCGTCCGTACGTCCCGTTCTCGTGATCGCGTTAAATCTGAAGAACCGATTGATGGATTCCTGCCAAACTTTGGTCATGTATGTATCTTGCAGAGCCGATGAACTGATTAGATTTTGGGGTCATGAGGTCAAAGGTCAAAGGTCACAGGGCTTATTATGTATGCAAAAACAGCTTGTGATCGCGTTATCTCAAAAACCGATGGATGGATTCCTGCCAAACTTAGCTCATGTATGTTACTTGCAGAGCCGATGAACTGATTAGATTTTGGGGTCAAGGTCAAAGGTCATGCGGCTCATTATGTATGCAAAAATAGCTTGTGATCGCATTATCATTAGAACAGATTGATGGATTCCTGCCAAACTTAGATCATGTATGTATCTTGCAGAGCCAATAAACTGAGTAGATTCTTGGGTCATGAGGTCAAAGATCAAAGGGTCACATATGTATATGAGAAATTGCTTGTAATCACGATATTCTGAGAACATGTTAATTGATTACAATGAGACTTGAATTTGAAAAATTTCTTCTTTTTTGGTTTGAAAACTTGCTCTATGACGGAGGCATCATTTTCGACTGCGCGCAGTCGAAGTTCCATCTAGTTCTCCATGTTATAATTGTTAATATTTTCTTACAATGTATAATCCTTTATGTGTATACTTGTTAAAGGGTCATTTTTTAATAAGCCAATTAGTGCTTTTCATGATCCCGCCACTATTATTCATATGTATATGATATTGGTTTGTAAATTGTTTTTAAAGTCGAACTAAATTAAATTGAATTAAATTGAATTAATACTGGTTTGAAACTATCTTTTTTTTTTTATTAAAAGTCAACTTGACATACATTATTAAGCTTGCAACAGTTCATAGTAATACTGGTAAAACATGTAATTATGTATGGAAATTTAGCAATTTCAATACAGGTTTTTTAAATATTATTTATTGCGCCTGCAGATTGAAAATTCTAAATTAACTAGATGGGCGAAAATGATGCCTCCGCCATAGAGCGATTTTACAAACCAAAACGGAAGCAATTTTTAATATTCAAGCTTGATTGTGTTCCATTAACAGGTTCTCAGAATATCGTGATTGCAAGCTATTTTTCATATACATGTACATGGCTCTGCAAGATAAATTTCTGTCCTGAGTTTGATAGTAATCCATCTGTCGGTTCTAATTATAATGCGTTCACAAGCTATTTATATGTATACAAATTGAGCCTCATGACCTTTGACCTTTGACCTCATGACCCTAAATCTAATCACTTTATTGGCTCTGCAAGATACATAAATATGGCTTGAGTTTGATGGTAATCTGTCTATCGGTTCTCAGATTAATGCGATCACAGCTATTTTTGCATAATACATAATAGGCCTGTGACCTGTGATCTTTGACCTCGTGACCCAAAATCTAATCAGTTCATTGGCTTTGCGAGATACATACATACCTTGAATTTGATGGTAATCCGTCCACCATTTCTAATGATAGTGTGATCACAAGCTATTTTTGCATAATACATAATAGGCCTGTGACCTGTGATCTTTGACCTCGTGACCCAAAATCTAATCAGTTCATTGGCTTTGCAAGATACATACATGACCCAAGTTTGGCGGTAATCCATCAATCGGTGCTTGAGATAACGCGATCACGAGAACGGGACGGACGGACGGAAAACCAGAAAACACAATATGCCTCCAGCTACTTTGTGGGGAGGCATAAAAATTAGGAGATATAATGACACAAAATCAATCCTAAAGTTCAGTCCAAACTTAGGAGGTTACAGCCATGTGTAAGCTTTTTCATACCTTATGCATTTGTACCATTATATGCTTTAGCACGGTAGACTAGCTGAATAGTATAGAGATATCGAATGCTACGAGAGGAATGGCTGTTTTTATACGCTCAAGGAAGTTGCTCGAAAGCCATCACCTAAATTAGGCGAGCCTGGGTGGACGGCGCGCCTAGGGTTGACGTGATGGCAACGGAGCAACTTTCCCGCGAGCCAGTATAGAAACAGCCAGTCCTCGAGTATTAACGCAGTCGATATGACTTTTATATGCCGATCGTAAAACAAAAATCTACCAAGAATTCTTACCTTAGCCTTTTATTGAGTAAAGATTAGTTAAAACATCACAGAAAATCTGAGACACTGTCTGTTAATCTTTGCTAGCAAAATGACTTAAAGTTTCAATCATTTTGGAATCCCAGAAAAAAATCACTGTAAAGACAATTTTAACACGTAAACCAATGGGGATCGCAGGAGGATGAGCTAGGGCACAAATTAATGGATATTCCCTGTGAGTGGGGCATGGCTAAAATTCACGACTCCAATTTCGACCAATCAGATGGCTAGATTTCTAAAGTGAGTTATACTGTAAAAAATCATCTAATAGTATTTTAATCTCTTTTATAGAATATTTGAACAAGAATTTACCACACTTTTGACATCGTCTTCACATATCTGCAGCTCCCGATGAGGTGAATCAAGTCTTCCTCGTCTGTGCACTTCACCCCGGACACATATAATTCCTGCATGTTCTTGGTTTGTGCTTTGATCAGAAGACTGAGTTCTTTCATCGTCTTTCTCGATACACTGTTCAACTCTGGTGGGAGTGATGAAGGAGCTCTAATTTCCATTTGTGTGAGCTGCTGTCCTCCAGTCAGACGAAGATCAGCCGTGATCTGAGATATGTCTCTCTCTGCATCATCGATAGTGATGTAGATATCTCTCAAGCTAGGAAGCGATAAGAGCAGCCCTTCATAGCTTTGTAACGTCGCTCTCTTTACTGATAGCTTTGTGACGGATGTAAGCTCAGGAGGAGATGGAGGGAAACTTAGAGAAGAGTCTGAGATGGTGAGATGTTTCAGTGAGGTGAAGGATCTGAGACAAGACCACATCCTGGCAGTCATCTCAGTAGAAAGCTGACATTTTTTTATCTGAAGGACATATAGCAAAATAAAGAGAGACTAGATTGTTACATCCGCCTAATGATGTTAGGCGAAACCAGGGAGATAACGAGTTACAAGAAATTGAGGATAATTGTGATCTCATGCATAGTGTTTTTTCTTGAGCTGTCCTGCCATCGTGTAAAATGCATGCTGCTATGAATATGCATAGAATGGATACGTTTAGGTTTCCTTGGATAGGGTATGACACAACATAATCTAATTTGACCATAAGGTAGATATAACCATTGACATATAACTGGAAGTGAAATATGCCAATTACAATCCTCGCAATTAATTGACATCACGTGATGAGCTGTGGACCAATCACACATTTGTATCTGTGAGAACTATCAATGATTTGATTGCTTGATCCTCAGGAAGAACCATATTAATGATGATGAGGCTACCTGGGTAAAAATGATTATTATCTCTATAACCCTATCCCACATACATGTACACATTAAGGCTAGAAAGCATAATGTCTCATTGTCCTTGAGTAGGACCTACAAACATAACACCAATTAACGCCAAGTACAGGTATACATGCCTTTTTGAGTGGTTTTGGGTAGAAGGGATTTTGGAATGTTGAATTTCCATCTCAATTTCACTTAGTACACAGAGGAAAGAACAGATCACTACATGAACAATTTGATGAGGTCATGGGGGGGGGGGGGTTGGATTTTTAAACTGAATTGGACATACACTGTAGTTGCACCAAAAAAAATTGTCACAAACCTTTGCGATGTACAAAAGTGATTTGTAATGACTTCCATTTTGTTTTTAATCTAACAATCCTACAGATTATAATGCATATTATTTTCATAACTAACAATTCACTGAAATGTATTAGTTCTAAAGATGAAATATTGGCCTACTACATATGGATATAATATTGCCAGGATGTGTACAGGATGTATTGATTATAAAAGTTTCAATGCAGTCCTACATTTCTCATTAGGGATGTGTTGGAAATTGAATTGAATTGACTTTTAAAAAAATTAAAATGTTATTTCCCACTCCCTATTTCAAAGGTGGTATAGTATGTTTACTTGATATCAATGTAGCTTTAACTTAGTTTGAAAGCCACAGTGTTCCCAATTATAATTTCAAGCAGTTGTATGGGCCGCTATCATGACTACAGTAATCTTGTTATTGTATGTATGCGTTAAATGTTTATTGTTGCTCAATAATCTAAACATTCCAGATTATATAGTATGCAAAAACTACATGGAATTCGACTGCGCGCAGTCGAAAATGATGCCTCCGTCATAGAGCAATTTTACAAACCAAAACAGAACACATTTTTCGAATTCAAGTTCAATTGTAATCCATTAACAGGTTCTCAGAATATCGTGATAACAAGCAATTTCTCATATACATATATGACCCTTTGATCTTTGACCTCATGACCCTAAAATCTACTCAGTTCATTGGCTCTGCAAGATGTCCTGAGTTAAATAGTAATCCATCTGTCAGTTCTAATGAGAATGTGTTCACAAGCTATTTCTGCATACATAATGAGCCCATGACCTTTGACCTTATGAACAAAGAATCTACTCAGTTCATTGGCTCTGCAAGTAACATACATGACCTAATTTTGGCAGGAATCCATCAATCGGTTCTTGAGAACGCGATCACGAGCTGTTTTTGCATACATAATGTGCGTTGTAGCCTTTGACCTTTGACCTCGTGACCCCAAAATCTAATCAGTTCATCTGCTCTGCAAGTAACATACATGACCTAAGTTTAGCATCAATCGATCTATCGGTTCTTGAGAAAACGCAATCACGAGCTGTTTTTGCATACATAATGTGCGCTGTGGCCTTTGACCTTTGACCTCGTGACCCCAAAATCTAATCAGTTCTTTGACTCTTCAAGATACATACATGACCAAAGTTTGGCAGGAATCCATCAATCGGTTCTTCAGATAACGCGATCACGAGCTGTTTTTGCATACATAATGAGCCCTGTGACCTTTGACCTTTGACCTCGTAACCCCAAAATCTAATCAGTTCATCGGCTCTGCAAGATACATACATGACCAAAGTTTGGCAGGAATCCATCAATCGGTTCTTCAGATAACGCGATCACGAGAACGGGACGTACGTACGTACAGACGTACGTACGTACAGACGGACGGACGGACGGACAACCCGAAAACATAATGCCTCTGGCTACTTCGTAACGGAGGCATAAACATTTTGGGAGAATTTCCCTGTATTTCCAGTTTGTGTCAAAATTAGCTAGGCGGCAGTATTTAACCGCCTGGATTTCCCGGCCCACCTTGCTTATGGTATACGTTTCAAATATCTTCTTACCTCGATATCTCTCAAGCCAGGAAGCGATGAGAGCAGCCCTTCATAGCTATGTGTCGTCACTCTCTCGGCTGATAGCTTTTGAACGGATGGAAGCTCAGGAGGAGATGGAGGGAAACTGAGAGAGGAGTCTGAGATGCTGAGCTGATTCAGTGGGGTGAAGGATCTGAGGCAGGACCACAACTTGTCGGTCATCTCAGTAGATAGCTGGCACTGCTGTATCTCAAGCCTAGTATTCTGCAATGAAATGCACACATAAATATTGAGGCTGAATGTGGGAAGATATAATTCCACATTGAAAGAGTTAAAAACACAATGATTATATTCACCACCTGAATTCACAATCCGGTAACTGATTGGATTCGTTTATAAAAAGAAACAATGCTACTTTGTTGTAATTTCCTTAGTTTAAGGCAGAGGATATCCCCTTCTTGAATATTCATAAGCGAAGTGAATGCACCCGTATTACAAAATTCTACTCACCTGGACGGCGTCTCCGTCGATTACAGAACCACCTCCACTCCTACATATAATGTTAACAAAAGTAATGAGGGAAAAATATGAATTAATAAATTCTTGGGAAAGTAATTTACATTAATAAAGAATATAAGTGAACTGTACATGTATCCCCTCTTCACAGAGGTAATCATTATGAAAACAACAATAATGATAATGATTATCTCATAAAAGTGATGATATTAATGAAAATAAGAAAATCAATAGCAATGCATTTTATATATAGTTTGTGTTCATGTCGTCTTAAAAGACGACATGAACACCAATATCTGTACATGAATTAAGATCAAGATCTAGATCTACATGTACACTGTACGTACCCCAAATTCGAGGGTGTTAGTTGTTTAGTCTTGACAAACAGGTCGACCAAGGTTTCTTCGTCTCTGCCCTTCACCCCGTACACATGCAGCCGCTGTTGGTTCCTGGTTTGGTCTCCAAAGAGAAGATTAAGCCTTGCAATTGACTCTCCTGAATCAATCTTCCTGTCTGTGGTGAGTGCTGGCCAGGCGTGTAGTCTGATATGAACAAATAACTGTTCATCCCTAGCCCTGGTCTGACCCATAGGCCTGGAGGCGGTGGTGATCTCAAAAGTGTTGCTCATCTCTAGCTCTGCAACATCAATAGAGACATCGATCTCTCTCACACCAGGTACTGATGAGAGCACTCGTTCGTAACTCTGTGATGTCAATCTCTCGGCTGATAGCTTTTTGACGGATGGAAGCTCAGGAGGAGATGGGGGAAAACTGATAGAGGAGTCTGAGATGGTGAGGGTATGTAGCATCGAAAATGATCCAAGACAAGACCATAGTCCATTCGTCACATCGTTATTTAGAGTAGATCCTTCGAAATGCACTGTCCTAACCTGTTGTTTAGAGAGAGAGAGGATTACAGACGGATCAATTAGACGAAGAATATAACATTAAATATTAAACTTGTTTTGTGTGTTAAATATTTAATCAATCCAGACTTTGGCATGACCTTTTCCGAGACTATTCGGTAAGTAATGGAAGCTCCCTCCCCAACTCCTTTACATTCATAATAAGTAATATATTTATATTCTTTCATGTTTAATGTAAAGATCATTTGTTTTAAATACGCTACATGCTTTTATTTACTGAATCTCGTCCTTTTATTATGCGCTATATATAACAAACCACCATTATTATTGTTATTATTATTATTATAATGTTCGTATCATTTTGCTTCATTCTTAAAATGAAGTACCTTGATTGAGTCCACAGTTTGGGAGAACATGGAATAATAATGATAATGATTCATACATCTTGATTATTATATCATGCAGTATGATGTATCAAGATGCCGTTAATTATAAGTAATTATACGTACTCACTCCCAGATCCTAATCAAATGATTGGTCATGCGCGGTCACGTGCGATTCATTTACTGAGCCTATTGCACTCGTTTTCATGAAAAGGAGTGCAATATTTTCCAGTACTATTGAACTCGTTTTCAGAGCGCGCAGAAGGTTAGAGCGCTTAATACTGCGTGTGCATGGGCCTAGTCTTGCGCAGCACTATGCGCACTAAATTGAGACTTACTAAAACTTGAGATTTATTTGTCAGCAATATACTGTCATGAAACAATCTTGAATTAATTATTTTTACATCAAATAACAAGGATCTAGGAGTTTTGTTGTATAAAACAAATGATGCATGTTTTCATTTGTTTATTATACAATCTATCCGCCCTCGTTGATGCTGTGTGTATCTATCGCACTCAGCCTAACGGCTTCGTGCGATAGATACACACAGCCTCAACTCGAGTGCGGATAGATCGTATAATGAACTCATGCGCATGCATCATTTGTATATTAATGAATAACTAGATAGATCTTCCACTGCGCACAGTTAAAAGCAATTTGACAAACCAAAATGGAAGCAATTTTTAAAATTCAAGTTTGATTGTAATCCATCTGTCGGTTCTAATGATAATGCGTTCACAAGCTATTTATAGGCAAACATAATGAGCCCTATGACCTTTGACCTCACGACCTTAAAATCTTATCAGTTCATTGGCTCTGCAAGATACTATACATGTCTCGAGTTTGATGGTAATCTGTCTATCGGTTCTCATGATAATGCAATAACAAGCTTTTTTTTTAATACATAATGAGCCCCGAGACTTTTGAAAGGGATCCGGTAACTTTGTCTCAGATTCTGAAACAAAATCCTGGATTTTGCTCATGCTGCAAAGATAATTATAAACCTTTAGGTCAGTCATACAGGAACCCCATGACTTTTACAAGCCGATCGCCTGTCTGATTATCAAGATATTTATGATTGGAAATCGAAACCAAATTTTGCGTTTTCCTAACGGTTTTCATAACACTACATTCTATTGGGGAAAACGAGTATGGTAAAACCGGTCACTCAAAGATTTTTACTTTTTTGAGGCCCTTCTTGATCATTTTGAAGCGCGATTTTTTTACTGAGGGCTTCAATATTAGAACATATCACAGACACTGATAACACGTAGGGCCGTGCATCTCAGATCTAATATTGTTAAACGATGCGCCTTTAAATCTAATTAGTTCATTGGCTCTGCAAGATACAAACATGACCCAAGTTTGGCGGTAATCCACAAATCGGTTTTAGAAATAACGTGATCATGAGCTAATTTTGCATACATAATGAGCCCTGTCACCTTTGAACTTTGACCTCATGACCCCCAAATCTAATCAGTTCATTAGCTCTGCAAAATACATACATGACCAAAGTTTGGCGGTAACCCTTCCACTGTTCTTGAGATAACGCGATCACGAGAATACGACGTACAGACGTACGTACGTTACAACGTACGGACGGACGGCCGGACAACTACTACTTTGTAGCGGAGGCATAAAAATTGAAAACTAAATTATTATTCTAAGCATATTTTGTGAAATGAAAATGTACATACCTCACGTTTCAGTTGTGTTGGAAGATTTTTCATCCCAACGATGGTGTAGACAGTTGGTGACTTTAGCATCATACTCTGTGCTGTGACACATCTTCGTACCAACGAAGACACATTCCCTTCAGCACCCATGGTCTCTGATGAGCAGTCAAGGAGAATGCGATATCGCTCGCTCTCATCCAAAAAGTTGTTTGAAAGGAGCGCCTCCATTATTCGTATACAGAGGCTGTTGTCCGTGCCAGCAGCGAATCGGATAAGATTTTCGTAGTCACCGATGTTTGCTTTGATCTTGCGCAGTACTCTGTCCAATTCAGAAATCTTCAAACGTAACAGAAAGTGGTGTGTTTGATCAGCGAGGAATTTCCCAGCCGAGTGTTCTTGGGCGAGTTTGTGATAAAACTCAATGGTAGTGGAAGTGGTCTCGATGGACTGAGGAAGGCATGTGATGTGTACAGTCTTCTTGGATACTATCCCAAGCTCACATGCTCTATCAAGGATTGTGGGAACTTTACGGAAATCATGAGGCGTGAAGACTAGTTTTTTAGCATCATCTAGCAGACCAGTAAGGGCAACTTCGCCTAATTGAGATATTATTTTCCTTAGCTTTTTGGGTGTGATTTTCACTCTTGACTTTAATCGGGCGTTTGCATGGTGCATCAAAAAGACATTCACGCTGTCTAATAATTTTGTTTGAGTTGCAGTTTCAGTGTTGTTCAAAAGCCCTTCGCTCCATAAATGACAGACCATGAGACAAAATAGAGGTGTCTTAACAACTTCATTCATGAGTGCTTGGTCATCAAGGTAGACCTTCAGACCATGACCATGTGTGCTATAATGAATTGAAGTCGAGGCAAAGAACTTGTCGATGTACTCACGTGAGCGCTCTCGCGAGAATCCTTCGATCCACATCTTTGTGTATACCCTTGGAAGTTCCGCCTGATTGAAGAAGTTGTCTAGGTGAGGGCGTGTTGTTACAAGGACCCGACACTCTGGAAATTCCTCCCAGCGGATGACACTGACAATATTGCTCTCTGAGCTTTGTTTTGAAGGGGAAATACCCGCATACTCATCTAGTCCGTCTAGTATGATGTGACAGATTCCCTGATTCTCTCTAATGAAACTCTCCAGAACCTCTGGTGTGAGATCAGCAACATCACTCAAAAGCTGGGATTTGATAGCTTCTCCGATCGATGTAAGCTGACTAGTGTTTCGGAATTTCACAACAAACAGAAGTGGCAGGTGTTCTAAAGCTGATCCCTTTTCTCTGTGAACCCAGTCATAAGCCATCTTAGCGACAGCCGTGGTCTTTCCTCTTCCAGCGGGGGCCGAAATGAGGATTCGAGCTGGCAGTCTTCCGTTAACTGTCGTTGAAAATATTTCAGCAACAGAACCTTTGAGTATTTCCTTCGTTTTCGTGTTTTGTCCACGAGCGTCCTTCTTCGACATTGTGACAACCGTGTGCATGTCTTCAAACTCCGCATAATCACTTTGATCCCATGGTTTCATTTGAATTTTGCACAATTGATTAAGGTACTTATTCTCTAACTTTTCGCGACATCGCTGAACAGTCAATGATGCCGAGATCTTCTTACTGTAGATACCTGGAATCAGTGGAATGATATAAGCATATATAACACTAAATGTCTCATTATATTCCCATGATCTACCAACCCCTTCGCAAGGTTATTGGGTAATCTAATTTTAATTCTCGTTGAAATACATGAATTCCGACCATTAGCCTCTTTGCTGTGAAGTAAATGCCTAGAAACGCACTTAACGCTGCTGTTATCTTTGATTAGACTGTATAGATCAGTCAGGAAAACTTTCTCTCCAAATCGATATTACACATCCCGGGTATATTTTCTCGTTTTCATCAAAGAACTTTGTTTCAAACATTAATTTGAGGGGCAGATCAGAGGTACCAGTCAGACCGCAGCGCGCGCGTTAATGAGGCTGAAAGCTGATTTTTATTCAGCGATATCTGGCGATCACATAACATTTACGTCTGCTGAATTTCCATGCGCTTTTCAGTGAGATTTGTAGGGGTGTACATGTAGCTGCGTTTTTGGTCGTTAACTTCATTCAACATGGCAGCATGCAACGGAAAGTCACTCTCGAGATTTTCAGCATCAGTTTGATATGTAATTTGCCATATTTCGCAATTTGTAAACAATAATTTTCACAACTTTTATTGACGCTATTTTTGTAACATTTCAACTGCTGTTTTGACCCGGGAATTTCACTTTTGGTTCCTGACTTTGGGACAAAATAAATTTGTCCACTTTGAGATTCGTTCGAAAGATGAAAAGTCACTGATCAAAAATATGTCAAAACCTAATTGACGCAAAATCATGTTCTTTTTATAATCATAGTAATTAAGACCCTAAAAACCCGGAAATTACCAATTTGTTCTTTTTATGATAGCGCGAAATTGTGTGATTTCATACTCGTGCACGCTCGCCGTCTGAGCAATGGCAATGCATAACTGATTATTAAACTCCAGGGAGCTCCGCCGCGCCATCGACTAGCCGAAAATTTTTTAGAAAAATGATTAAAAAAGAAATGCAGTAGAAAAGAAACATCTACATGGCATGTGAGGTATTTGATCTCGAGTCCTTAGATTGTTGTCAAGACGGCTTACGCGCACGTGCATTACAGGCGCACGCCACAACGCATGGTTACCGAGATGTGGTATTCAGAATGTTAATAAACCAAAGCGAAACATATGTGACGTAGTTGACGTAGTTGACCAATCAGAACTCTCTATTATCACATCGGCAAAATTTACTACTTTTTTTAATTATTCATGGACATGAGCGTGATCTTTTTTGGTTCCTGACTTTGGGACAGCGTAAAATATAATAATTTTGATATCATTGTAAAGAAAAATATTTATGCTTTATGCTGATTATAACATCTTCTTGACGCAAGAATGATTTCTATGTGAAAATTAGCCCTACTCTTTAGATAGATTTATCGTCGAAAAACCCCATTTTCAAGGCGAAATATCTGTTTCCAAAATATATCTAACATGATTGTCATATAAGTATATAGAGAGTGCAACTTCTTATCTTTAAAATAAGACCCATTTCATGAGAAATGAACAATTATAAAGGCAAAAACTGCCGATCGGGAAGACCGTCTGCACTACTCATTACGTATGCGAGACACGTAAATTCTTGCATACGTGCTGAATAAAATAGAGGGTTTTCGCACCGGCTGCGGTCTGACTGGTACGGGGTGAAAGAAAACGATGGAAGTATAGGTAATTTGAAACCATATATTTAAAAAAAGTAAAATAACAAAGAAAAGAAGAAAACCGCAGAAAACAAGACATTTCAAGAATACGGTCCGGGCAATGGCCTATAAACACAGTTGTTGTCTTTTACGCAATGCCGTTTTTATTTTCGTGATGCATTGTCCGGGGCAGTGCTCCCAGGGGGGGGGGGGCGTTGTCATACTGCATGCACTTTAATTGTCAGTACCTGTAAAGTACCACTTCTTACGGAGGACCCCTTTTATTTGTGATAAGTGCCTCTTTTACTTTGAAAAGTGACCCATTTTCTTTGTAATAATTCTGATTGGTGCCCCTTTCCATTTCTAGTATGTGCCCCATAGCCTTCTTTTAAGTGTCTCTTTTTAACTCTGATGAGTGCCCCCTTTCCTCTCTAGCAAGTACCCCCTATCCCTCTTATTAGAATCTTTCAGTGAACTTTTTTCACCTCTGATGAGTGCCCCTTTTGAAGAGTAATAATTGACGCTTTTCGTTTTTGATAAGTGCCCTATTTACCTTGACATATTCCTACCTTGACATATTCCCCCATATCTTTCTTATACATGTAAGCGCCCTTTCAGTTTCTGACAAGTGCCCCTTTCTTCCTTTTTAATAAAGTCCCCGTTCACCTTGAATGGATGACCCTTTCCAAATCTAATAGTCTCCCTTTTAAATATGATAGGTTCCTCTGCTGCTTTTGATAATAGCCCCTTTTCCCTTCTAATATTGCCCCCCTGATAGGTGCCCTTCGTGTATATATGCCTATTGTCGCTTCAAAATTAGCCCGTTTGCATTCATTTAAAGACCCACGCCTAGCTTCAAGCAATCGGAACAGCTATGTGTAGTAACAGGTATCCTACCTGTTTATAGTGGGGGCAGGGGGCCACAATGCCCAAAATTTCATAGGAATGAATTGCGTCTTATTTAACAATACGATCGTGCTTGTTTTCAATGATGTACATAAAGTGCCCCTTCTATGGATATTAAGCCATGGTAACTTAATATATATATGCTCTTTTCACGCTCAAACGTGAACCCTCTTAAACTATTGATCTACTCATTTTGCTCCCGATTGAAACATGGTAATTTTGGGAAACAAGGTGCCCGAATATCATTAAGCAACAAGATACCTGGATATAAAATTGTCATAATTTTTCTATTTAGGAACTATTGACGTTTAATTGACATTTTTACCTTAATTAAGTGTTTTATCATGCTCGTTTTGCTCGCTCTTAACTTAGAAGCAAGATAATCCAGTGTATTTTTATAACGTAATACAATACTTAAAATAATCAAAGTGGTTGTTCGTGCGCGCGAACAAATTTAGAAACATGTTTTTGGAAAGAGGCGTATTAAAGCCCCATTGCAAAAATGTACCACGTACGCTACTACAATAAATTCTTCACAACTTTGATAGGTTGCCTTGTTTGTTTGTTATTAGCTGTTGGCTTTCAAACTGATACTTTGCCCTGGTAAGTGAAGTCAGGGCGTAGAGAATTCCGGTATTTCAACATTACAATTCTGGTCATCCTGAATTCTAGAATAGTATAGACGAGATCCTTGAAATTGGCTTGCTTTATAAATTATAAGGATTTTTTTTCTAGGAGGCTACCTATTTGTTGTATGGTGTTCAGAGAGGCAGAGAAGGCAACCAAAGTGTTAATCAAGGTTCGACTTTTACTCTTTACGCTTATCCAGAAGAAAGTAATAAGGAGCACACCAAATGCAAATAATAAATTAAAATAAATATGACCTTATATTACAATAATACCTGGGCTAGTCTGCACTGGAGTCTTCTTGTGGTAGTGTGAGTCCTGCTGGTTGGGTAGATATTTACCTGTAGGAGATTCAAAATATATTCTTTTATTTCTTGTACAATAGGTTGAAACACTTTTGCAGTAAAAAAAAAAAAACTGGTTTCCATAGGGGTCCAAGAATAAAATGAAGGGGAGAAGCAACTCAAACAATTGTTACAGATGAGGATATTAGTAGTAGTAGTAGTAGTAGTAGTAGTATAAGGCCTAGACCTAGTAGTACTAGTGGTGCTAGTAGTAATAGTAGTGATGGTGGTAGTAGTAGTAGTAGTAGTAGAATGCCTAGTAATACTAGTGATGCTAGTAGTAATAGAAGTGGTAGTAGTAGAGGTATTTGTAGGAGTACTTAAAGTCGTAGACCCAGTTGTAGTAGTAGGCCAAGCAGTAATAGTGGTTTTAGTAATAGTGGTGCTAGTAATAGTCGTGGTAGCAGTAGTAGTAGTAGTAGTAGTAGTAGTAGTAGTAGTAGTAGTAGTAATACAAAGAGCAGGAGGAGTTGATGTAGAAGTAGGAGTAGATTTAGTGTTACTAGTAGTAGTAGTAACGGTAGTATTAGTACCAGTAGTAGTAGTAGTAGTAGTAGTAGGCCTACCCAATACAGAACACTAAAAAGTAACCTCTTTTGGGAGAGTATTTTAAGTGATTTTAAAGTATGGTGCCTTTTGAACTAGATTTAAACGTTATCGACACGTGCCTTCATTTAAACAAAAAAGGTACTCCTGTTTACAAATTCATCTAACCTAAAAACCACCAATTTATCACGCGACTGGAGTAACGTGATTCCACTCACCTCTGTAAATCAAGTGTTTATGACCATATAACCACTTTACCAAGCACTTTTAAGCACCTTTATCGATTGGTTTCACAGGTTATCCAAGGTTGATGGTAATAATCACTTTACTTACACCGGCTAATCGTCTTATTGTTCTGTCCGTGAATTTCTGGTTATATTAAATTAGTAATTCTGAGGTGTCTTACACACCTCTTTAAATGGTTCAAAGTTGCCATGAGATCCGCGGTGATGATCTTGTGACTCAAACGGATTATTAATCTAAGCTGGGCATCCGTGATTTTTAGGTGTGAAAAATTTGTAATTATTAGGTGTGTAGCATAACTAGCCCTGTAATTTAGTAAGACGTAGAGGGCGTTATAGTTATTTGTCAAATATATACATGTACATCGTGAGATGTCAGTCAGTCGGCGTTGAGCTGTCGTGTCAGTCAGTCAGCGTCGGGCTGTCGTTGCGACAGGTCCGTTACCAGGAACGAGTAAAGTTACTTGAACTGCAGATACTGTGCAAGTGTTGTTTCTTGAGTTACTGTCAGACATTAAGTGATTGCGGGAGTAAGTGAATGAGATTGAGAGCTAGTCCACGTTTATTCTTACACCATATACTTTTGTAAGAGCCCACTGAGATATAAAGTTGATGAATGATTGTCGAGAGCGTGGACCTGGTTTTGAGAGACTGCAAGGCAGAACGCTACCCCGGCAGAGCCCGGTTACGCCACAGGTGTCTTAAAACACCTTTTTAAATGGTTTCAAAGTTACCATAACTTTCTTGGTGATGATCACGTGGCTAAAACTGATTACTAATCTAAGCTGTGAATCTGTGATATTTAGGTGTGAAGAATTAGTCAATATTAGGTGTCTTAAAACACCTATTTAAATGGTAGTCAAAGTTGTCAGCAGTTCCGCGGTGATGATCTCGTGACTCAAACGGATTATTAATCTAAGCTGAGCATCCGTGATTTTTAGGTTTGAAAACTTAGTCATTATTAGGTGTCTTAAAACACCTATTTAAATGGTAGTCAAAGTTGCCAGCAGTTCCGCGGTGATGATCTCATGACTCAAACGGATTATTAATATAAGCTGGGCATTCCGTGATTTCCAGATGTGAGAGATCAGTTATTCTTGGGTGTCTTGATGGTTTCACAGTTACCATTTAAGTTCCGTGGTGATAATCCCGTGACTGTTGGCATATTTTCATTGCACCAGTTGATAACTGGTCTGTGTGCATATTTCCAGTTGCACCAGTTGATGACTGACTGTTGGCATAGTTCCAGTTGAACCAGCTGACACCAATTAATTTGCATATTGAATATGGGGTGTGTGCAAATCTGTTTTTTTAAACAATTTATCTGAATTTACAGCATATTTCTTAATTACTGATGATTTAGTTATATGCAATTCATTTCAAAAATACTACAAATATAAACTAGACCTGCAATCGTGGCACAACGATATGCGTGCAATGACGGGCGATTTGGCACTAACGGTCGTATATACTAACATAATTATAAACAGTATAATATGGTGTCTAAAATGCGATTAACTCACATAGATCGTTCTGGGGGCCAAAAGCGTGAACCCGATTTGCCCCATAAACAATGCGTGTAATGCATGGGCGGAAAACGTACAGGATATGTATTATGACCGGATTTAAATTGTTTTGTTCTCTCTCTCTTTATGTCTTTTTATGGAACGTATTTGGAATTATTGTAAAGAGAATTTCATGGTGGTTATTGTAAACCATTTAATTTTTTGCTATGATAATCCTATCGAAACACGTGATGCAAAAAAAAGATGCAAAAAAGATTTATAGGACAAAATGGCGTCTTAAATGACCCCCTTGACCAATTTTAAAAATCCGGCTTTGAGGTGCCCTGCGTATTGCAACTCGGAATGTCACTGTAAATTTTTAAGGAAAAGAAAGAACGTTTAGGGGGCGAAAATCAGTCTGAAAAATGACGTCACAGCCGATACATGTTATAATTGGGCGGAAACTCGACGGAATTCGTATAGTGACCCTTGTTCAAATGCGATTTACTCTAAATTTTCTGTATGAACATATACCATACTTGATATCAATCGAAAGGGCACTTCATTGCAGTCAGGTTGACACCATTGTCATTGGCGCGCAATGTATTGCACGCATTTAACACGCTATTACGTAATGCATAGTAAATTCATCATTTTTAGCGATAACTTTGCGCTGACGTCATTAAAATTTACACAACTTTATGGACAGTTGTCACGTATATTGATACATGTGTCTGCTAAGTTTCATTGTTGTAGGTATAATGATCGCAATTTTAGAACAAGTTGAAGTTATTTCGCAATTTTCTTGAAAATGGCGAATTTGGAGGGCAATTTTCTCAAATGTTGTCATTGTTAGGGTATATAATTTTGTATATGGCTGAAAAGGGCATATGTTCAAGTATCTAAATCCAAAAAAAGGGTACGGGTCTGCCAAGCCATAATAAAGATACGGCCACAGAAAGAAAGCCAATTCCCAGAACTTTAGAGGGCGCTATTTATGTTTTGCATAGCTATTGGAGCATGAAATTTGGCATGGCTATGTGCAATTATGGGATAAGGATACTGTGAGACTTAAATACAAAACGAAATTTATATAAGAAAGTTATGGCAGTTTTTAGATTTATACGGGTCAATTTTTCAAGAATTTGAGAGATTTTTGATGGAGTCGGTTTCGGATTTGAATTTTGAGTACGAAGATGGCATTTTGAAGGTCAAGTTATGCGTCGCAGATGAAAGAACATCTCTTAGACTATCTAGAGGAATTTATTAGAAGTTTGTAGGATCTAGGATAGTGGAGATAGGAAGGAAGAAAGAAAGACCTAAAAATGGACCAGAAACGGACAAAATGGCGCCTGGATGGTTATGCATGAGTGATTTCGAAGATCGAAAATATAGGTGACCTTGATGAGATGCTAGAGACTATGCCTATGAAATTTGAACGGAAATGAGGAACATGAGGGACATGAGGAAAGCACTTAACTAGGAATAACAAACACTACGTGCAAAACGAATGCGATTTCCTGGGAAGAAGAAGAAGAATATTAATTTGGAAGAACGTGAACGAAAACAAGGCAATGACGAAGATCGTCATTGCAATAACCGGTACCAGTTAATAGGACATTTTGCTACTTCGTATAAATTACATTGTATTAAACATGAATAAGGGAAACATTAACTATGAACTAAAATAATTTCAATAAAATACAAGTATATGATTTTTTTTCGATTAATTAAATTATGTAAGTCTACTTATTACCAATGCCTTTACATTGGAAATACAGACCTACCAGTATTGAAGTGTTGTTGCCGTTCAACTGGTTGGAAGTTTTACCAAATGGTTCTAATGGCTCAGCTATAGACCGGTTGAATTCTAACTGGCATGGATCAACTGGATCATTTAGCCCATTTCGATTTCTAGGGTTACCAGTTGGCATTAACTGGTTCATCAACTGGTTCATCAACTGGACCAGTTGCAACTAGCTTTCTCTTCTGAGATGTTTGCACCCCCCCCCCCCCCCCTCTAATCCCAAACCGCTTTAGGCGCGCCTGGACGTAATTACGGAAGATCCAAAACACGATGTTCAAAAACGGTATGAGAACGTCATTATTTTGGTTCATTTATTGTGTAACATTTGCGTAATTATTGGGTTGAACGTGGGTTACAGTAACATATTTCCTCTTCGACGTAAATTTCACGTGAATGAAGAACATGATTCATCTCAAGTCAGCCTCGTAATATTTACGTGAATTTCACGCAGATATTTTGACTAAAACTATCACTAACGCTTCATGTGTTTCTGTGACGCGATAATTTCGTTTATGAAGATGTAATTTCATAACCAAACAAAAACGGGAGTATTAGGTTTACAAACCATGGTCTCCAAGGTAGGGATAATCACGTTATTATAATGATGATATTGCAGTGACAATTGCGTGATTTAGTGTACGTGTGTTTTAAGTGACCTAGTGCAATAAACGTATTAACACATTTACGTAAATGTCAAGTGTTTGAAGAACGTAACTCTCGATCTCCTCAAGTCGATACCTTGATAATCGATATTGACGTGATTTTCACGTGATTTTGTTTATTGGGCAGTAGTAATAGTGGTGTTAATAATAGTAGTGGTAGTAGTAAAGGTGTAGTAGAAGTAGTAGGAGTTTATGTAATAGTAGAAGTAGTATAAGTAGTATTTTTAAAGG